CCCTGGCCTCCCAGAGCCTAGGGCCAAAACTGAATACAAAGAAACTCCAACCACCCCCATAGCCTCCTAGATACTTGGTTCCTGGGAACTGTTTGGCCACAAAACAAACTCCAGGGTAGACCAAAACTTCCCCTGTAGTCTCCAGGATATAGTTCTGAAAACCATTGGTACCTATGTACAACAGGCCACCTGCAAGTAACAAGACAATGCCATAGAAACCACAGAGCAATGAAAAATAATTGGAACGCAGGTATTTCATGCCAAAATATGACTTTGACAAGTTCTCCTGATTGTTCCCAAATGTCAACCAATCAGAAACCATCCCATACCTATTGATGTAATCCTGTAACTTTTGTCTCTAAAACCTAAGAGTTGACAGGGAACTTCACTCCCTCTGGAGACTGCTGCTTCAGCTTGCTAGAGGGGGGGGGGTGTCACTATCACATAAACAATTAAAACCTTACTTTTACAGTTTGGTGGGTCTATCTTCCTGGTGGCCTCTGGGGATCTTTGCAACTTGGGCACAACAGTTCTGAAACTCCCCGCCTCCCCCAAAAGAAAATTCTTAGCACAAGTAATCCCAGGAAGGCTGATCTGCTTTCACCTACCATAAAAAAATCAAAGAGAAGCTGGGCGTTGGTGGCGCATGCCTTTAATCCCAGCACTCAGGAGGCAGAGGCAGGCGGATCTCTGTGAGTTCGAGACCAACCTGGACTACCAAGCGAGTTCCAGGACAGCCTCCAAAGCCACAGAGAAACCCTGTCTCGAAAAACCAAAAAAAAAAAAAAAAAGAGAAATAGTTTAGTCATCTGGGACTCTACCTGGTTTGGCCTATACACACACACACACACACCTTTTTTTTTTTTTTTTTTTTACGAGACAGGGTTTCTCTGTATTATTTTGGAGGCTGTCTGTACAGCCTAGCCTCGAACTCACAGAGATCAGCCTGCCTCTGCCTCCCGAGTGCTGGGATTAAAGGCGTGCACCACCACCGCTTGGCTCACACACACCTTTTCTAATAAGGTACTTGGCATCATAGAACACTTAGCTGCATGCACTACACACACACACACACACACACACACACCTTCCAAACAATGTACCCAGTAATTTGTTAGCAACTTAGGGAATCCACCTGCCTCAGGCTGTGTGCACATATCATTCTAAACAATAGAACAAGTTTCCCCTTTCCTTAATGATCATTAAAATTAGACAGATTGTATTCAGTTCTACTCCACTTATGTCCAGGTATAAGAGGAGGAAGGTCAATCCAGCCTGAATTAGTTTTGGGTACAGGCAAACTGGGTCCTCTAAGTGAACTTTTTAAGGGAAATTACCTATTCACCAACCTATGCCTATATATAACCGGTACACATGATTGAAAACAGATGCATTCAAGGATATTGTGGTAGAATATTCTCTCAGCACAACAACTGTCATCACCATCAGAACAGCTGTGACCACTCAAAAGATTAAACTGGTGACTGCTGATGTTTCACCAAAGAAGGAGGAGGTGGAGAGTTCCTGGACTCTCACCTTAGACAACAGTGGCAGTGGAAAACAAACGGTTTTGTTAATAATTAAGCATTGAGCCAAAAAAAGTGGTTTATGTAAAGTAATCCTTCACGTGATTATAAAGACAGCCAAACTGTCATGACCAACACATATATTATGTCCAAGAGAAACAGTTAGTCCTAAAGTAAACTGCTCTGACAACTGTCTGTCACATATTTGGTCTTTACTTTTCCCAGTAATTGTTGTGCCCATCTGTGTAAAGACAAAGCCAAAAATGTAAAGCAAACTAGTCTACTCTAGTAGTGGGATTCTAACCATTTGGAACCTGAGGACATAGTGACTTATTTTTTTTTATTTTTTTGGTTTTTTTTCGAGACAGGGTTTCTCTGTGGCTTTGGAGGCTGCCCTGGAACTCACTTTGTAGTCCAGGCTGGCCTCGAACTCACAGAGATCCGCCTGCCTCTGCCTCCCAAGTGCTGGGATTAAAGGTGAGCCACAATACCCAGCCATAGTGACTTTTAATGCCATAAGCAGGCAATTAGGACCTAATACCTAATTTTTCCTATTACCTCACTTAATGGTCAGTCTTAGGGAGGACTCAAGTTAGTGGTTATGATGAACTCTATTCAAATATGACACAAAATGGCTCAGGAGGTAAGGCCAGGTAACTTCTGCTAACTCCCATAACAACAAAAATACAAAACAAACCAACCAAACAAATGAGTATGCTAGAACTCTCTTCTGATCCTGTGCTTCTACCTCCCACGTACTGGAATAACAGAATTGCACCACCATCATCAGTTTACGAAATGTTTGGGATCGGACCCAGGGCTTCTTGCAAACTTGGACTTTATCAACTGAGCTATAATCATCCATCCCGCAGTGTCTATTAAACTTTTATAACATGGCCAAAGAGATGACTCAGCAGGTAAAAGCACTTGCCACTAAGCCTGACAATCTGAGTTCAATTCCCTAATTTGTCTCCTGACTTCCACATATGCATCCTGCCACACATCACCACCCCCATAACATAAATTAATGTAATTATTTGGGGGGCTTCGATACAGGGTTTCTCTGTGGCTTTGGAGGCTGTCCTGGAACTAGCTCTTGTAGACCAGGCTGGTCTTGAACTCACAGAGATCCACCTGCCTCTGCTTCCCAAGTGCTGAGATTAAAGGCATGCACCACCACCACCACCACCACCACTACCACCCGGCAAAAAGATATTTCTATGTCATCAAACTGACAGAAAGGCTAGCTAGATAGGTTTATGCATGCTTCAAAGAACACAACAGCAAGTTTTCCCATCAGTAAATTCCCAGTGACAAACAGGAGGAAAGCTCTAATTTCCAATGGATAATTACACCTCTTTATCTTCTGTTTTTCCCAACAAGCTTCCTATTTGATGTTGTCAACTCTGGGGAGGGATGGGGCATCATGAATTATCTCTAAGCAGAAGAGGTATTTGGCAAAACCCTCTGATTCCAAGTATGTGTGACTTGTGAAAATAACAGTGTCTTCTGGACCTCCTATGGGTCTCTCCCCATTCTTACTGCTTTTTGCAAGATTTTCTGAGTCAGGTTTTATTTTTTAGTTTTTGAGACAAGGTCTCACTAGGTAACTCTTGCTGGTCTGGATCTGTTAAGTAGAAAAGGCTGGCCTGGAATATACAATGATCCTTATTTTTTCTTTTTTATTACTTATTTTTAAATTTAAATTTAAGTTAGAAACAAGGTTGCTTTACAAGACAGTTCCAGGTCCCTCTTCATTTCCCTCCCCTCCTCCTGTGCCCTCCCCCCAACCCCCCTACAATGATCCTTTTATCTCTACCTCCTGCATGCTGGGATTCAAGGACTAAGTCACTATGTCTAGTCTTCTGGACTGTCACACTACCAGTATTTTACATACTTCGGAATTTGTTTGGCATCAAGAAGGGGTGTGAAATGCCAAGATCAAAAGGCTAGATATCTAACTTCCTGGTGATAATGAGCCTGAGAGGTGACTGTTAACAATTCTTGGAAGAGCAGAGGTGTGAATCTCAACCCTTGTGGGGTTTTGTTTATATTATTATTATTTTTAATCTTTTTATTAGGTGCTGGATAGATGGCTCAGTGGCTAACAGCACTTATTGCTCTTGCAGAGGGCCAGTGCTCTGTTGCCACCACCCACGTGGTGGTTCACAACCATCCATAACTTCAGCTATCGGGGATTCAGCACCCTCTTTTGCCCTTCATGGGCACCAGGCACATACGGTGCACGTATATGTATGGAGACAAAACACTTACACACATAAAATACAATAAAAATTTTTTTGAGACAGGGTTTCTCTGTGTAGCTCTGGCTATCCAGGAACTCATTCTGTAGACCAGGCTGGCCTCAAACTCACAGAGACTGGCCTGTCTCTGCCTCCCAAGTGCTGGGATTAAGGGAGAATGCCACTATCTGCAGCTCTAAAAAATGTTTTAAAATCTTATCATTTTAAATTAATTTTGTTATCCAAGTATTTTATATTTTCATGCATATGTGGCATTATATATGTGTATATATGTGTGTTTAGAGATTTATTTTATTTATGTGTACAAGTGTTTGCCTACGTATATGTTTATGCACCATGTGCATCAGAGCCCCTGGAGCTGAAGGTATAAATGGTTGTGAACCACCCATGTGGGTGCTGGGAATTGAATTTACATCCTGTGCAGGAGCAACCAATGCTTTTAACCACTGAACCACCTCTCTGTGGCATTATACTTTCTCCATTAGTTATTACTTTTGTGTGTGTAACACAGCTTGAATCCAGACCCTTGTATATGCTAAGCAAGCTCTCTACCACCGAGCTACACATCCAGCCTTGTTTTAATTTTTCAGACAGCCAGCTGATCTGAATCTTGGTATTTAGTCAGGTTGTCCCTTGCCTAAACCAGAACTCTATAGTTCTGGTAATGCTGCCATGCCTAACTGCGGTTGGATTTTTGTGATAGAGACTACGTAGTACTGGCTGGTGGGTAGACACCAGGGCCCTAAATTACATTCTTTCCTTTTAAAATAGATTTATTTAAGCCAGGCATGGTGACACATACATTTAATCCCAGAACTCTGGAGGCAGATCCCCTGAGACTGGAGTTACAGACAGTTGTGTAAATTGCTGGAGAATTGAACCCTAACTAGGGTCGATCCCCAAACTACCCAGATCTCCTGGATCACACAAACACTCACTCCACAGCCAGATCTAAAGCTCAAAAGTCCCAGGTCCCAAGGTAAGGGGCCACCCAGTCACCTCCTTCCCTCCCGCCCGTCCTCTCCACTCCAGCTCCCTTCCGCCTTCCCGCTTTGCCCAGTCTCTGCCGCAGCGAATCACGCCTGGGCGGTTGGGGGCGGGCTTTACCTGACCGCGTCCTTTGATTGGGCCGCCGAAGGGGCGGGGCGGGGCAGGGCTGTGCTAGGGAGAGCCTAGTGGAGCTCTGGCCTCTGCGCGCCAAGTTTGGGTTTCCCCCGGACGCGGCGTGTCACGTGGTCTGTCCGCTGTCCCAGGGCACGTGTTGGGCTGTTGGGACTGCGTGGCTTGTCCCAGATAGTGCGCCGTGCCTTTCCGGCAGGCGGTGGAGCTCGGGTCGTTCTTCGCGCGCTCTCCAGGAACTCAGCAATCCACCTGCCTCTGCCTCCAGAGTGCTGGGATTAAAGGCGTGTGCCACCACGCTGGCCCTAGCCCCTTCCCTTCTGTAAAGGCCGGAGGACCAGAACCCGCTACCAAGTGAATTGGAGGCCATCGTATACCGCAGGTTGTGACCTTCTCATAAAAATCCACCCTCCTAAGACGAGGTATGTAATGTCTAGTCTTTGCTTTTGTTTTTTGAAGTTCGGATCAAGTAGCACATGCTAGCCTCGAATTAGCCAAGGATGACCTTGAACTTCTGATTGGCCATCATCTCACCAGCGAGAGCCACCACTCCTGGTTTATGGGGTGCTGGGGATGGAACTCCTTGATTTACACGTTAGTGAAGCTTTCTGAGGTTTCTCTCTAGTTGTGTAATCACTACTTTTGATTTAGTAGCATGCCCCTGTATGTCTGCAATGTGTGTTACCCTGATCTCGGAGACTGGTTGGATTGTAGTGTTCTCTTGGCGCATTTGCCTCTGTTTCAAGGTCTGGAAGTTAGGTGGCCCTTGGTTAGCGGAAGCAAGCACAAATGTGTTTCTTTATGTCAGGCAGTTGCTGGACTGGAAACACCAGTTTAGGTTCTCTACAGAATCTATTTTAATTTTTTTCCTTGAGGGAATGTCGAAGGGAGGTGAATAGTTGTGCTACCTGGGGTTCTAGGAAAAACCAAAAGTAAACAAGTTCAGATTTTGGTTCTATTGCATGACTTTAGTTAGGGTAAGTAATAACACATCCTTTGGGAGCAATGTGTGAGACAAGGCCACCATGCCTAGCTCCTACTACAATTTAGAGGCAGTTATAGTAATGAATATGGACTTTGGCAAACCTATAGACCTTTTTAAAAATGCTGCTTGTTTTCAACAGTTAACTAAAAGATGACTATTTGAAGCACATACCTTTAATTCCAGCACTTGGAAGGCAGAGGCAGGTGGATCTACAGAATGAGTTCCAGGACAGCCAGCACTGTTAAACTTAACACAGAGAAATCCTGTCTCAAAACCAAATAGCTGGGAGGCAGCACATGCCTTTAATCCCAGCACTTTTAAACCCAACATTCTGGAGGCAGAGGCAGGTGGATCTCTGTGAATTCAAGGCCAGCCAGGTTTACAAAGCAAATGCCAGGACAACCAGGACTGTTACACAGAGAAATCCTGTCTTGAAAAACCACACACACACCAAACAAACAACAACAAAACACAAGATGGGAAGTTTCAGGGAGAGGAGAGACTGCTGAATTGGGGGTGGGGTGGGGGCAAGAAGGCTACCCTTGCAGCCTCCCTGGAGGGCTTAGGTAAGTGCTACTCATGAAGGCTGTCTTTGGTCCGAAAAGCCATTGCTTGTGGGCCAATGGTAGCAGCAAGTGAGTCTGAGGACGGGAATGGGGGTGCTGGTGGTCCGTACACAGAGGTGGTGATGTTCTTCCTGAGAAGGGACTGAATGCTCCTTGCCTAAGGAAGAGAGGTCTGGCCCTCCAGAGAAGAGGACTCCAGTGGACCTTCATTCGTTCTTGCTGGTTAGGAGCTACTGTTTCCAGCCTTCAGCAGTTAATGATTAATGATGTCCTTTGGGATTCCAGGGACAAAGTACCCGGCCTGGCTGCCGTGGACTCTGGTTCCAATTTGCCAGGGGCCCAGAGAGGTGCTTGGATTATCTGGGTGCTGATCTTGAGAGCAGAAGCTCTTGGGGTCTTTGCATGCATTGCTGAGGTTATTGTAAACCTCTCTTTCCCAGGGTGCTGCTGCTACAGCTGCAGAAACAAAACTGACTTGTGTTTTTCATGTGTGGCATGTATGTGTCTGATGACTCCATGCTTGTGCTAAAATAACATCTACTTGGAAATTCCTAACGAGGAATTTTCTGTTTAAAGATAATTGACCCTTTGTCTACCTCTTCCAGAGAGAGGAGGAGCCCTACTGTTAAGGACTGTTTTGTAGTTTGCCTCTTGGTTTTGTCTCTCTGTCTGGCAGTGCTCATGATTGGCTTCTTCTTCTTTTTTTTTTTTGGTTTTTCAGACTGGCCTCGAACTCAGAGATCCGCCTGCCTCTGCCTCCCCAGCACTCAATTCTTCACCTGTTTTGGCCTTATGTATTCATTATTCGTGTTGATCTGAGGTCCATTTCCACCAGAGGAAACCCCATAAAGGCAGGATCCCCAGTTGGATTTTAACTCTATTTGTGCTTCCATGGAGTCTGAGAGAAATATGTCCAGATGGAGTGAAGAGTGCAGGACTTGATTATAAAATGCTTGCTGCATATGGTAGAACATGCCCATAATCCTAGCATTTGGGGGGTGCAAGAAGGAGTAGTTCAAGGTCATTTCTGGGTACATGCTGAGTCTCAGGCCAACCTGGACCATGTGAGAAAAAAACAACTAAAATGCTGGTGCTGGGCATCTTGGAAGGAATATTTTAGTTGCCTGTGCTTTCTGTTAATTTGTGTGTCTACCCAGAAAAATCTGAGAAGTTGGTAAGTATGGAATGTGTACTGTTTCACAAGAATTTACCAGTTTTCTGCCAGTGGAACTGTTTTAAGTAAAGGGTCCCATTGATCATTTAGACGGATTACTTCTTCCACTGGATACTGTGGGAGATTAGAAAAGACCATTGTCTATCTGGAAGTGCTGGGTTCAGTATAGAACCATCCAAGAAGGCCTTGGAAGAGGAGGCTTTAGGGCAGAGAGCTTTGGAATGAGGGAAATTTGGTCCGAAGTTCAGAAAGGAGCCCCAAGTGAGTTCTAGGGGTTTATGCTCCTGTCTGCTCAAAAAAAAAAAAAAAGCGTATCACCATTCAGGGGAGACTTGCTGGAGTTGATGTTGGGACCCACATGTACTTTCTTCTTGCTTTAGGCAGCTCTGAGCCAGTGCAGCAGCAGCAAACATGGATATTACCCTGTGGTCCTCTCATGAGAAGATGTTGGCACAGCCCCTCAAGGACAGCGATGTCGAGGTGAGACTGTGGCACCTTCACAGGCTTTTACATCGGCAGTCATGTTTAGGTGACTGGGGTTTTTGTTGTTGTTTTGTGGGGATTTTGTTTTGTTTCGGTTTGGGTTTTTGAGCTGGGACGGTGGAACCCAGGACCTCACACGTGTTAGGCAGATGCTCCACGACTGTACTGCACTCCTGGCCTCTAAACTGCTCATTACGATGCAGACGGAAGCTGGTGTGCAGCGTTGTAGAGCACCTGCTCTCCCTCTTACTACTCCAGCACCACCAAGGAGCAGATTGAGAGGCTGTGGCTGATAGTCCTTTGGGAATAAATAAGATATTTCTGAGCTCAGTGCTAGGTGCTCTAGGAAACAGGAAGAAGGTTGGCCCTCCTTTACACTGCCCAGGAACAGACATGCACATATGCCTAAAAGCAAGGTGATTTTATAGTAGTGTTGTTGATATACTTTTTATTCAGTTGTACAGTTCTGTGGTTTTAGCATTCAGTGGTCCTCAATTTACACTTCAGTTATGTTTTAATAAACCCACATAAGTTGCAAATAGGTCAGACTGTACCGAGTCTGCTTCTTGCCTGTCACATACCCAGACTTTGTCAGTGGGGAGCATGATAGCGTATCCCCAGGATAGTCAGGAGTGTATCCTGTCGTGGGCTCGCTGGGCACTGTGGCTTGCTGCCACTGCCCTGGATCAGGAGTGGAATTCAGAATCTGTCTAGCCAAGGAAGGAGACCTGTTCAAAGCTTAAAGTGGTATCTACTTGGTGCCTAGTGCTTTGCCTCTCAAAAGCTGAAGAATTTTATGTCCAGCAGCATCTGTACTCAGTGAAGTGTAGACCATTTTTATACCAGGAATCCATGAGCAACTGCCCCATTCTCCCTCAATTTCCCAACCACAGGCAACCACTAGTGGAGTTTCTATTCCACTGTTTTTGCTAAAACATTTTTTGGAATAAGGTTCGTGGAGATAAGAACTTAGTAAAATGTAAGGGTAAAATTAAAAATTAGTTGAAGGTGGCAGCCACACCTTTAATGCTGGCAGAGAGGCAAGGAGATCACTGAATTAGAAGACAGCCTATGCTATATTCCAGGCTGGCCACGGCACATAGTGAGAACCCATTTCAGCAAACAATAAAAATTAGGCATGATCCTAAGTCATGTTGTTTTGCTCTCTGACTCAGGGTGACCGAGCCTCTGGTCATTCACCTTCACTTCACGTTGTTTTGCTCTCTGACTGAGGCTGATGTTGTTTTGCTCTCTGACTGAGGCTGATGTTTTGATTTCTGTTCCAGAGCCTCTGGTCATCCCACCTTCACTCCCAGATGTTGAGATTATAGACTCTGGCCAGCAGGTCCTATTCATTTTGTTTTAAGTTTATTTTTGTTGCTGTCTTTCTAATTAAACTCTGTACGGCCAAGGGTGAGCTTGAAGCTTCTGATTCTGCCACTTTATGTCCTGAGGACTGAGATTTCAGGCCTGTGCCATCCTTCCCAATTTATTCAATGCTGGGGATCAAACCCAAGGGATTATAAATGTGCTAGATAAGCCCTCTAGCAACTGGGCTACCCTCCAACCCCATGTCTGTTTTCCTCCGATAAGGTTTACAACATTATTAAAAAGGAGAGCAACCGGCAGAGGGTGGGATTGGAGCTGATTGCCTCAGAGAATTTTGCCAGCAGAGCTGTGTTGGAGGCCCTGGGATCTTGCTTAAATAACAAATACTCCGAGGGGTATCCAGGCCAAAGGTGAGTGAATGTTCTTAAAGTCCTGCTTTGATCATTTGTTTTTATTTCTTGTCATGTGGTTCAGGCTGGCCTTGAACCCAATTCTCCTGCCTCAGCCTTCCAAGTGCTATTGTGGTTTTGCAATTCCTGGAGTTCATCTGAGATGTAACTTTTGAAAACTTGTAGCTTCCTGGTTGTAGGGTTGTCTTTCCTTCTTGCTCTGTGACATGACTCTTCCAGCTCTCTGCTTGGATGGGATTTTGTGATCCTTCTCAGAGCAGTCACACTCAACAGTCCCTAGATGAGGCCTTTGTAGACTAGGCTGGCCTTGTCCCTCTGGGTTCAAGTGGTTATAAGCGGGCTTGTCTATGAGAGATGTAGTCGAGGCTCCAGGAAAGGTCATTGTCCTGAGAGAGAAAGCTACAGAGAGTGGCTTGCTCAGAGAACATTTGCATCTAGGAAGTGGGGGAAAAAACCCAAACCCCTGCATTGCAGGCTCAGTATCCTTCCTCTAAAATGCTTACAATCAAAAGTGTTTTTCATAAAATTTTTCTACTTGATTCTTTGCTCAAGAATTCTATATCTGAGACTAGTGATTCAAAACTTGAAACTTTGGGTATTTTGTGAGTCTTACTATGTGAGTCATACAACTTGGTGTGTGGACCAGATTGGCTGCAAACTTGTGTTGCTCCTCCTGCCTCTATTTCTCAAGAGGCTTGCAGGCAGGTACCACTATGCCTGATCTTTTTTATTGTTTTTGGTGGTGTTTGCTGGGAGTTGAATTTAGGACCTCATGAACACTAGGCAAGTCTCCTGCCACTGGCTTAGATACTCACCACACTGAAACCAGTTTGTTGAGACAATCCAGAATCTCACCTCACTACATAGTATAAGCTGGGTCCTCTATCTGTCTGTCTATCTATCTATCTATCTATCTATCTATCTATCTATCTATCTATCTATCTATCAATCACAGCCATTATAAGGCAAAGAAAATATAGAAAGTTGACAGTGGTTTTTGCACATGTTTGTTCCAATGGAAACAGGAAAAAGGGAGGCCTCCAAAGAATACAATACATTCTGAGGTACCCTTGTTTCTTTTCCTTCTCTTCCTTTTATTCTTGGGACAGAGTCTTTGTATATAGCACCAGCCAGCTTGGAACCCCTCCTGCTTCAGCCTGCCAAGTATTGCTTAAAGGTTGCACCACCAGGATTCACTCCCCCCCCACCATATTCTACTCACCCTTGGCATCTTTGGCCTCTGCTAGGCCCAGAGACTGGGCCCAAGGTGGATGTGGACCTTGCTTCTCTTTACAGGTATTATGGTGGGACCGAGTTCATTGATGAGCTGGAGATACTGTGTCAGAAGCGTGCATTGCAGGCCTATCATCTGGATCCTCAGTGCTGGGGAGTCAATGTCCAGCCTTATTCAGGTGATCGTTGCATCCACATAGACCCTGGGTAGCTCTGTAGGTCTCACTCTATGGTGTTACAGCCACCAAGTCAAGTCCTACAAAAAGCTTCTCATAAGTAAATAGAGACAAGCCAAGGAATATGTACATCCATCTCTATTGCCCTTGGACATACTTAGCTCTGCACTCCCCTCCCAAGGAACATTCTGCACTGGAACTTGAGATCAGCGGGACTAGGACATTACTTTCTAAGGCTCAGGAAATTCATAGTGATAGCCTGCTGAGTGATTGTCTAATAGCCAAACTCCTGGATGCCACTTTGTGTCTCGTGGTAGAAATATTCATGACCTCCTTGTCCCTGTTTCAGGCTCCCCTGCAAACTTTGCTGTGTATACTGCCCTGGTTGAGCCCCATGGACGTATCATGGGCTTAGACCTGCCTGATGGAGGTCATTTGACTCATGGCTTCATGACAGACAAGAAGAAAATCTCTGCTACATCTATCTTCTTTGAATCTATGCCATATAAGGTAGGGGGTGTCTCCTCAGAGCTTTCCTTATGGGTTGGCACCCACAGGAATAAGTCATTTCATTTACACATCACTGCTGCAGCCCCTTCTACTAGATCTCCCCTCCTTGCTCCAAGGATTCTTCAGGCTCTTGGCACACTGGGGACAACAAGGGAGGGGGAGTTAAGATTTGGGCCAAAGCTATGACATGATGGAAGCTATGACGGAGAAAGGATCAGATAACCAGACTCCTAGCAGCAGCTGGTGCCACCAGTCTGCCCTCACCAAGATCAAGATCAGCAAGCGCTAGAGTGGTAATGTCCCCATCTCTAGCTTTAGCATCAATACTAGCAGCTTCTTGGTGGTATGTTTTGGTTGTATGGCTATTTGTCTGTGTGTGTGTGTGTGTGTGTGTGTGTGTGTGTGTGTGTGTGTGTGTGTGTGTGTATCTGATGCCTGAAGAGGTCAGAAAAGGGTGTCATATTTCCTGGAACTCTTGAGTTACAGACAGTTGTGTGCATGTGTGTGGGTGCTAGGAACTGAATCTGGGTCCTCTACAAGAACAGCAAATGCTTGTGTCTGCTGAAGCATTTCTGCAGCCCTTGTCTTTATTATTTTGGTTAGTTGGTGTCTTACTCTGTAACTCAGACTGACTTTGAACTCATGACAATCCTTCTGCCTCAGCCAGTAGCTGAGATTATAGGCTTGACTGTGCCTTTCTCATTTCCTGGGCTTTTTGTTCTGTAACATGGTTCAGTATCCAGGGCTGAGACACCCCTTTATCCTGAGACCCCTCTGAAGGCTCCCAAGTCTGTGTGATAGTTGGCCTTTTATACCTTTGTGCAGGCTAAATCCAGTGCCCTGCCCTGGTCTGTGTTGTGGCAGGTTGAATTGGTTCAGATGGGTGAGCAGGGGTCACTGTGTGACCGGAGGGAGTGGCCAAGCCTGTGTGTTCCTGCTCCCGACAGGTGCACCCAGACACTGGCTACATCAACTATGACCAGCTGGAGGAGAATGCCAGCCTCTTTCATCCGAAGCTGATCATCGCAGGTGAGCTGCAAGTGGGGAGCAGCCTGGTTCCTGGGCAGGGCTCTGCGTCCTACAAAGAAGGATGATAGATACCCCATCCTCCAGCTCACTGTGCGGAGCTCAGGACTTGAGACTTACTCTGTCTTTTAACACTTCAGCCGGACTGCTGCCATCTTCATGAAGTCAGCTGTGTCTGCTTTCAAGGGTCCATCTTAGTTGAGTCTGTGGTCAGCTGACATTTGCCCTCCTACAAGGAGGGAGCCAGAAGGGCCATTGAACCCTCACCTGAGTGTCATGCCACTTCTCCCAGCTATCTGCAGTTCTGCCCAGTGCACATGGCCTCCATAAGGGGCTAGAGTAGATACTGGGGGAAGGGAGCCTTCTTATTCTGTTACTCTCAGACAAGACTTTTTTTTTTTTTGGTTTTTCGAGACAGGGTTTCTCTGTAGCTTTGGAGGCTGTCCTGGAACTCACTTTGTAGACCAGGCTGGCCTCGAACTCACAGAGATCCGCCTGCCTCTGCCTCCCGAGTGCTGGGATTAAAGGCGTGCGCCACCAACGTCCGGCCAGACAAGACTTTTTAACAGCTTGCCATCAATAGTGCTTGGTGGGTCAGTGCTTCAAGCCTTAGGCTTTTCTTTCTTTTGTTTTTGTGTGTCCTGTGTGTGTCGTCTGTCGTTCCGTCCATTCCCCGTGTCCCCACCCCATCCCACATCCCCATTACACACACACACACACACACACACACACACACACACACACACACCCTGCTGCCCTGGAACTCTGTAGACCACAAAGATCCGCCTACCTCTGCCTCTGCCTCCTAAGTGCTGGGATTAAAGGCGGGCGTGCACCACCAATGTCCGGCTGCTTTTCTTTTCTTTTCTTTTCTTTTTTTTTTTTTTTTTTTTTGGTTTTACGAGACAGGGTTTCTCTGTTTTGTTTTGGAGGTTGTTGGTCCAGCAGCCCGGCCTCGGACTCACAGAGATGCGCCTGCCTCTGCTTCCCGGGTGCTGGGATTAAAGGCGTGCGCCACTGCCACCTGGCCCCGGCTGCTTTTCTTTTTCTTTTTTCTTTTTTTTTCTTTTTTTTTTTTTTTTTTTTTTTTGGTTTTTACGAGGCAGGGTTTCTCTGTATTGTTTTGGAGGCTATCAGTCCAGCCCAGCCTCGAACTCACAGAGATCCGCCTGCCTCTGCCTCCCGAGTGCTGAGATTACAGGCGTGCGCCGCCACCACCTGGCTCGGCTGCTTTTCTTAACATGTATAAAAACACAGGGGTGGTTTATTTTGTTTGATTGGTTGATTGTTTTGAAATAATTTCATTGTGTAGTCCAGGCTGATCTCAAACTGGGATATCCACTGGCTCTGCCTTCCAAGTGCCGGGATTAAAGGCATGTACTGCCACAAGTAGCTCAAGGATGGTTATAGGGCACATTGCACATCTCTCCTCAAAGACCAGGGGTGGATCTCCTTTCAGATCTGTGCATCAGCTACCTCAGCTACCCTGGGCATCTTTGACACTACCATGTTGTCTTCTCTGTTTCAGGGACCAGCTGCTACTCTCGGAACCTGGACTATGCACGTTTGCGAAAGATTGCTGATAATAACGGGGCATATCTCATGGCAGACATGGCACACATCAGTGGGCTGGTAGCAGCTGGTGTGGTGCCCTCCCCTTTTGAACACTGCCACGTGGTGACCACCACAACCCACAAGACCCTAAGAGGCTGCCGTGCTGGTATGATATTCTACAGAAAGGGTAAGTTCCGCGTGCTGGGACAGGCAAAGGACGGGCTAACTTCCGCGTGTGGAAGAATCTGGGAAAACTCTGGACTGTAACTTCTGGAAAGGATCAGGACTCTGTACCTTGAAGAGCTCATCAGGAAAGAGTAGTGGTGGGCATGGTAAGAAGCCCCAAGCCATAGTTCTGGCCTCAGTGAAAGTCCTGCTCATCTGACCCTCCACACAGGAGGAAGGTTGGAGCAGCTCCAGAATGGCTATTTTGATGAACTTGTTATGATCTAGTATATTTGTCAAAGAGAATGCTTTTTTTTTTAAAAATGCTATTATTAGTGGGAGTACTCACATGCCAAAATGTGGAGGTCAGAAGACAACTTTTGGGAGTTGTTTCTCCTTCCATTGTGGGATCCAGGGATTGAACTCAAGTTGACAAATTTGTACATCAAGCCCTTTATCTGCTGAGCCATCTCCATACCCTCATAAGGAAAGGCTAGTGTGGTGCTAAGTACCTATAATTCCAGCTTTTAAGATTAAACAGGAATTTGAAGTCAGCCTGAGACTTTGTCGAAGAAAGGATGGAGGGTGACAGTGAGACTAACATTGACACTCAACAATATTAAGCTATAAAATATTGATACAGGAAGCATGGCATAGTGGTATGCAGGCATATCTAATCCCAGCACTTGGAAGGCATAGGCAGGAGACAGCTGAAAGTTTAGGGGGCAGCCTGACTATTGAAGTTAAGTTCTACATCTGTCAGGGCTAGGTAATTCATACTTATGTTTCATGCATAAAACAAAAACAAATAACCTCTGTATAAGTTTCATCGTTTTCGTAAGGTCTTTCTCTTCCCACTACCTCTGCATATATTTCCCTTATTCTCTAGCTGCTACAGGGCTGAAAGTCATGTCAATAGTTATGTAGATATAGCCTTGGAGAAGCAGATAAACTAGCCCGCCAGTGTGTCTTACCCTGGTGGCATCTTATTGCTTTAGCCCACCCCACCCTATTGAGGGCAAGTCCTAGTCAGGTCCCTCCTCAGTCTCCTGGGTCCTCTGGCCTCTGAGGACCTTTGTCAGCTTGCTTGGTGTGGAGTTGTTGGGCTTGTTTTTTTGTTTGCTTGTTTTGGTTTTGAAACAGGGTTACATTCTTAGCACAATCCTCCTGTCTCAGCCTCTCAAGTGATCAGATTATAGGTGTGAGGCACAAGCTAGGTTCCTGGGTTGGTGTTTGAGTCACCTGACACAGAGACCTTTGGTGTGTCTAGTGTGTGCAGTGGAATTTGTTGACGCTCAGCCAGTCAAAGTAGATCTGGCCTCTTTGCTGCTATGTCATCTTGGGCCACAGGCAGCCTCTCTCTCCTCATCTCTAGAGCAGAGTGCTGCAGTAGCACCCCTGCTTCCAGACGGTTTGAGGGTTCAGTGAGTTGTAGGAGACACTTACCATTGAATAGGAATTATCTTTACCGTTAACTTCTACTCATGAGTAGTCATCTGTGCATTACTGCCCTCATACTGTCTCTGTCACTTTCCGCACAAGCCCAGTGACTGAGTTTAATCCCCAGAATCCACATAAAGGTGGAAAGGAAGTAAAGAACCAAAGTTGCCCTCTGACCTTTACCATGGTACTTGCCATAGTACATGTGTGTCCACACACATATCATGCCCATACACAATAATAGATTTATTTTTATTTTTGAAAGAGGGTTTCTGTGAAGCCCTGGCTGCTTTTGAACTTGCTCTGCAGACCAGGCTGGCCTCAAATTCAGTGATCCTCCTGAATGCTGAGATTAAAGGTGTATACCCTATGCCCTTGGTAGAGTTGTGTTTTTTTAATTAAGGAAAAAGAGGGCCAACCATGGTGGCCCATTCCTTTAATCCCAGCCCTTGGGAGCAGGCGAATCTCTTAAGTTTGAAGTCAGTCTGGTCTACATAGCGAGTTCTAGGCTAGCCAAGACTAAAAAGCAAGACTGTCTCAAAAGGTCCATCTGCAGGGACCCTTTCTCTAGCATTGTAAAACAGCTTTCACTACAAACATTCCAAGTTGAGGTGGGACTGATTGTACACACCAGTTTGACTGTGAGGCAGAGGAAACCGGTCTGTCTGTTAACATTGTAATTTCTTTACCAGGTGTGCGGAGTGTGGACCCCAAGACTGGCAAAGAGATTCATTATGAGCTGGAGTCACTCATCAACTCTGCTGTGTTCCCAGGCCTACAGGGGGGCCCCCACAACCATGCCATTGCGGGTAATTCACCAAGTCTATTGTAGAGCCCTTGGATTGCTCACTAGCCATCACAGCCCCATGAAGTCTGTGTCTCCCATCCTGCCTGTTCTCCAAAGATGTTCCTGAACTTGCACACTGGAGAAGGAACTTGGGAGAAAATGTCTGTACAGCAAGAAGGGAGGTAGTTAGAAGTGGCACGAGGTGAGGACAGAACAGAAGTGTCTGTCCCACTCAGATCCGGCCACCCTTCAGCTACACTCTGCAACTGAAAGATGCATGTGGCCAGCATGAAGAAAAGGAGGGCCCAATCCTATGGGACAAGCTGCTACTCTTCCATTAGCCCCACACCTGTAGGCTCCCACTTTATAACTCTTGTACCTTGAGCCCTGGCTACAGGGGTAACTCCAGGATTCTGTGTGAACCCTACAGGCTCTCTTCTTTTTCCCTCAATTTGGACAGATGGCTTATGGATAACCTATAATAGTGTGAATCATCTTACTGTCATTTTGGCAGGGACAGTGGCACTTGCTTGTACTGAGGCACTCAGGACAAGGAGGGATATCTCAGGCAAGACATCAGTGTACAGCATGGGGGGCTCGAGAGTAGCTTAACAGTTAAGAGCACTGGCTGCTTTTCCATAGGACCTGATTGAGTTTCCAGCATCCGTAGGGGGTTCACAATCATCTGTTACCTCCAGTTCCAGGGAATCCATTACCCTCTTCTGGTTGCTGCAGGCACCAGGCATGCAAGTGATGCAGACAAAGCATGCAAGCTAAACACTCATACACATTAAGGGGGGGGATGGTGGCACATGCCTTTAATCCTAGCATTGGGGAGGAAGAGGCAGACAGATCTTGCAGTTTAGCCTAACACAGCACATTGGTGAAGCACAGAGGATGCCAGAGATGTGGGGCATGGGATGCAGTGGGCAGGTATTCAGATTTCCCTACTGTGCTTGTATGCTTAGCTCTCATAATCCCTGCTAGCCAAAATGTTGGTCATGCTAGTCCCAAGTGTTTCCACCAGCAGACATGGCGGCTCCATACCAGGGCTTAAGTGTGTGCATTTTGCGTGGTGCTCTACTTCTTGTCTCTTATAGTCAAACAGCCCACAAGAATAATTAAAAGGGTGTCAGTGCACTAAGTGGTGAGGGGGCAAGCAGATCATTCCTTCTGGGATACAGCTCAGAATGCTGCGTTACATCACACAAGGCACTGACTTTGTTCATCCAGAGATTCATTTACATATATCAGGCATGAAATAGACTAAATCCATCCTTGTGGTAATCAGATTACCACTGGGCTTTCATCCCTGGAGTTAAGATCACCTCCAAAGCAGTCCTGGGGTGTGGCTTCAGTAACGTCTGCAGAGAGGGTGGCAGGATAATTATGGGGCTAAAACAATGTGGGGGTGTAGCACAACTATAATCCTGGGTTCTATCCCTAGCATTGTCAAAGAACAGAAGTATGTAATTGGGCACATGGGGGAGGGGTGTAATAATTTGGACACTGGATTCCTTGAAAACAAGGTCTGCTCCTGAGTCACCACCTGTCTTTAAATCTGTCTCCTTGTCCAGGTGTTGCTGTGGCCCTGAAGCAAGCCATGACTACAGAATTCAAAATCTACCAGCTCCAGGTGTTGGCCAACTGCAGGGCTCTGTCTGAGGCCCTCACAGAGCTAGGCTACAATATAGTCACAGGTACCCTAATGCACAAAGTTCTGGGCTGACCTCTCTTGGGTAGGAATATTCAAGTCTTGAATCTTGGTTCATCTAGTCAGGGTGTGGTCTGCCACCACTGCCATGACTTGCCATCTCAGAGCACACCCTCAGCTGTCGGTCTGTCCCTTCTATGTGCCTTAGTAGCTACTACCTGACACCCAATTTGGGGACTCTGGGAAGACTCACCTGAGAGATGTCAGGTTATAGCTGTCACCCACTTGGAGGTGGCAGAGCCAGCATCCTTCCATTTGGTGATAGCTCACACCATCCATGAGGCCAGGGCACAGTAGGCTCTCCCTGGTCCTGTCAAGTATTGGGTATGAAATATGATTCTCATAACAGCCTTGTGACCCAGGCTCCTGGGGTTCCAGTGTGTCAGTTGATGGAAGTGGACTGCAGACTTAAGCTGAGTCTTTGAAATCATCCTGGCAGCACAGCCTGGGGTTAAAGTGAGACAATGGTCTTCCAGGACCACACATGGTTTAAGGAAAGTTCAAAGTGGAAAGACTTGGAGAATTAGGATCTTCTTCATGACCTCAGGCTTGGTCCAGAAAATTCTATCACTGCCCTCATCTGTTAGCCAGCTGTCTCTAACAAGTGCCCCCAGAGGCCGGGCGTTGGTGGCGCACGCCTTTAATCCCAGCACTCGGGAGGCAGAGGCAGGCCTGGTCTACAGAGTGAGTTCCAGGACAGCCTCCAAAACAATACAGAGAAACCCTGTCTCGAAAAACCAAAAAAAAAAAAAAAAAAAAAAAAAACCAAGTGCCCCCAGATAATCAGTTTAACACAAAGACAGACTAGGCTCACTTTTGGAGTAACTGGTCTAGTCCACAGTTGATTAACCCAATTAGCCCTTTTGCTCTTGGGCAGGTACATCAAGGTAGGAGCTTGTGGAGTACAGCCATTTAACTCACAGCCAGGAAACAAGAAAGAGAAGAAGGGGCTGAGATCCTACAGTCCTCAAGTGATCTAAGGCCTACTAAGCCTGTCTTTTGGGGTAGAGGGGTATCTTTTCATTATACAGTCCAGGCTGGCCTCCATTTCCAGAATGCTGGGTATGCTGTAGGCATACAGCACATTGCCCAGCATCAGGCCAATCTATCACAGGTTCTATCACCTTTTGATAATGCTGAGGTCAAGAGCAAGCCTTTTACACCATGAACTTTTAGGGAGCCCTTGAGATCTGAATCTTAGCATTATCTGTGTCACTGATAGGTGTCTCCTTTGAAATCTGAAGGATTTGAGCACAAGCCAGATGCCTAAAAAGTTCTGGATTAGAATTTTTGTGTTAGGAATGTTTAATCAATAAGGTCTAGCAAATATTCTAAAATGTGTAAAAACTCAGATCTCCAAACACTGCTTCTAGTCTTGAGCATTTTGATGTAGGATCTTCAGTCTGTTTTACCAGCCTCATAGGGTTTGGAACAAAAGCCTCCTAACTTGTGGTCATTACCCCATCTACATAATTAAATGAACCCCTACTAAGTCCTCTGGTGCTACTTTTTGTTGTTGTTTTGGTTTTGAGATAAAGGTCTCACTATGAGGTCTTGGCCTCCAACTCATGAGATCACTTGCCTCTGCCCGAGGGCTGGGATTGATTGAAAGTGTGTATCCATGCCTGTTCTAGAAGGGGGCCTCTTAAAATAGCTTCAGAAAGGCTGGGGTGTGGTTCAGTGGTAGAGCATTTACCTAGAGTCATTTGTTACAGAATATGAAAAACTGAGTGCTCTTCAGCCTGTGTGGGTCTCTACCATATGGCACAGGCAGTGTGGGGTAGAGAAACTGCTGGATGTTTTCAGCCAGAAGTTTCCATACTGCTTGGTGTGGTCAACCTTCTACATCCCATTTTATCCAATGTTGTTTCCAGGTGGTTCTGATAATCACTTGATCCTAGTGGATCTCCGTTCTAAGGGTACCGATGGTGGAAGGGCCGAGAAGGTACTAGAAGCCTGTTCTATCGCCTGCAACAAGAATACCTGCCCAGGTGAGACTCCTCTATGATTTTCTTCCACAGCCCTCCTACCTGCATTTCTGTCAGCCAGTGTTTCAGGTGATGAAAGGATTCAGCTTGGGAGACAGACCATGGTGGGGGGAGAGCCGAAAGGAAAAGGCAGATTGAGTGCCACAGCTGGTGAGAGAGGCAGGGACTCTAAAACAAGTAGCATTTCTCTGTCAGACCCAGAGCCACACCAGAGGACTGCTTTTCACAGGTTAATACAGTGGCCCATATGCTTCTCAGACCCTAGTTGTTAAGTCAGTTGCCTCCTTGCTAGATCAAGCTGGAATCCACAGACCAGAATCTTTGTCCAACCGTTTTTTTGAAATTATGGGCCCAGTGGTGTCTTTGGCACAGCTCAGTACATTGTTTGTCTCAAAGGCGACCGGAGTGCATTACGGCCCAGTGGATTGCGACTGGGCACCCCAGCATTGACATCCCGTGGACTTTTGGAAGAAGATTTCAAAAAAGTTGCACATTTTATCCACAGAGGTAAGGGTGAGGTGTTGGAAGTTCAAATGTCTTGCTTGTGTATGTAGTTTCGTGTGGTTTAATAGCTAAGACCCAGCCATTGGTGAAAACTGGTCTATAGATCCCTCTTATTTGAGGTCTATAAATGTGTATCACCAAGGGACACGTTCCACAATCACCTGGGGGAACATTGACACCTATGAGTTACAGCAGGATACACGGCAGCCCACATGGCACTGCACTGTCTTTTGCACAGGGATAGAGCTGACTCTGCAGATTCAGAACGACATGCCTGTGAAGGCCACCCTGAAAGAGTTCAAGGAGAAATTGTCGGGGGATGAGAAGTACCAGAGTGCTGTGAGGACTCTGCGGGAAGATGTGGAGAGTTTTGCTTCCAGCTTCTCCCTGCCTGGCCTGCCTGACGTCTGACAGAGCTAGCACAGCCAGCATCTACCACGAGGGTAGCACTGCTCCAGGACCACGTGTCCTCTCTACTACCAAGCTGGCCTGTAGCAGCCCTGAGTCTACACTGTGCTTCAGAGGGTGTTTCTGACAGGCTGATCTCCTAAAGAAAATTTGAAACTTCACTTCTCAGCAGCTGTATATAATGAACTAGTCTGGAAAAAAAGCACTGTGTAACCATTTGATCTCACTTATTGATTTCAGTATGAGGCAGAGCTATTAAAAATTCCAGAATCCTTCTTTCTCCTTTTTCAGTGGGCCCTGTGGCAGGTAAGGAAATGTTCAGGTTCACTCTTGTGTTTTCAATTCTTCCTATTCTGTCGTTAAGTAGAATGCCAGAGGAGCACTGAGTTTTCTGCTCTGAGCTTGAGATTTTATATATAAGTATATGTATTATAAGTACATAAGCAAGAGTTAGTGTCAGGTACTGGAAAGATGGCTCAGCTGCTCTTCCAGAGGGACCCTGATCTCCAGCACCCACATGACGGATCCCAGTCATCTGTAATTGTGGTTCCAGAGGATCCAACACCTACTGGCTTCTGAGAGTACCAGGCAAACATGAGGTGCAGACATACATACAGGCAAAATAGCAATACATGTAACATTTGTTTAAAAAAAATTACTGTCAGCAGTTTGAAATGTTATAGAAGGGCTAGGGGTGTCACTTAGAGGTACTGTACATACACAGTCTGATAATGTCCTTGATTCATGCCTAGGACACAAACAGCCTTGTAGAACTGGTGTCTCTGTGGAAGTGCAAACCTCTTTCTGGTTTGAGAATCAGCAGAGGTTTCCAAAGGCTTTGTATTCTACTTTCCTGAGATAACCAGCTCCTTCTTATAATTAGGAACCCACATGCTACCTTCCCAAAGAGTCTTTATTTTTCACATTGCTGAATTGCAAACCATTGGTGACTTAATATGCACAATCAAATTTTTACCCACAGAATGTCTACAAGAATTATAGCTTTAAAAAATACAACCAGTTTCTATATTTTAAAAATATCTGAACTCAAATAAATTAATATCTTAAAAAGTACACTCCTCATACTATTTGTTGGCATTTACGCTGGTTAAACTTTTGTGTATAATGCCTGTGGGACACAGTCACATCAGCAGTGCTCTGGTTCCAGTACTGTGACTGCAGTTTGCAGGTTGGGACACATTCACAGACACGGTGGGACATGCAGTAGTAAAATAGCTTCTTAGAAAATAGCAAGAGTTCACTGCAGACTGTGCTGCTCACTAACTGCTGTGTGCCTCAGTCCAGCCTGTAGCTCCAGCTGTCCAGTATAAGACAGTTTGGCCAAGACTCCTTGGGAGCTGGTCCATTGTTGGTCCTGTCTCCACCAGTGAAGACAGCTGTGTCTGTTTCCATAGGGCGGGGTGGCATACTGGTCCTTATCTCTGATTGTGGGGCCACTGCACACTTTAGCAATCTTAATTCCTGCCTCTCTGAAGACAACCACACAGCTCCAAGTAGGGCCTCCTAGGGACCTACACTGTAAACCAGTAGATAACACCGTAGGACGCTTTTTTCCCACTGCTATGCCTCATCTGTTCCTGCTGTTTCTTCCCAAAGCTTAGTGGGCCAAAGTTTAAGCTCAAAGTTTTTTTTTTTTTCAGAGCAAAAGAAATCTAATCTTTCTGCAGCCTAAGTATGAGTGTGTCCCTTAACAATTCCAGTTTGATCACAGTATTAGGGTAAAGCCAGAAAGCCAAGGCACTTTCTTAGGAGTTTTCTAGGGAAGTAGAAAGTAGCCTGGATGGCCTACTGCCACGAGGATTTGGTACCTCCAGAGGCCTTGCATACCTAATGGTACATGATCCCTGACTAGGTGAACTACTACTACCCAACCATTTGGGAGAAAAACCATGGCGGCTGTAGCACATGACATTGGTCCAATATGTAGCACTCAGGCTGGGGAGTGGCATGGACAGTGAAGCAGGCTGGTAGCCAAGATGCATACAAGACAACCTAGGAGTTCTGACTCCAGTACCACACAGCACTACACTGCTGGCTTTGACACTTGGCAAAGGAGAAGGGAGGTCTGCTTTCCTAGGATTAGGAGATGGGAACTAATTTAGATGGGGTTGAAATCCTTTGTATTTTACATATTGCAACTGTTCTAAAATAAAGGAGTTAAAGGTCAGATCAGGAATGACTGAAGTCCAGTTCCAAGTTTAAGAGTAACTTCAGACACTTCAGTAGCAAATCATGGAGGGGTTAAACCATTTGTTTTTGAGACAGGGTCTGTGTAGATCAGGTGGTTTCGAACCCAGAGATTTGCCAGCATGTGACACCACCACCTGGCGGAATTAAAACATTTTAAAGTCAAGGTTCAACTGAAGGGAAATGGTGAGACAGGAGGTGGCAACTAAAGCCAGTATGTTCCACATTGTATAGAAGACCATGGCCTGATCTCGATAGTGGAGTATGTGAACGTTGAGTAACGTATAAGCATGACTTGTATCATGGTAGAACAATGTACCAGCTCAGTTGAATGGTTCTTAAACTGAACAATCTTTAAAACAGGAAGGGAAGTAATTGCTTGGCAGTCAAGTTGAAATAAACCTGACTTACCAGTTTTAGTGCCAGGACTCAAAATAATAGGAATAAAGAAGAGCTCTGTTATCTTTATTAGCCAGGCTAGAGGGGTGTAGTTCAGTTGGTAGGGTGCTTGCCTAGTATGTATGAGATCCTTGGTTCATTCCCCAAAATCGTGTAATCTAGCCAGAACAGTCCTGCAATCTCAGCATGTGGAGGCAGGAGGATCAGAAGTTCAAAGTCAGCCTTAGCTACAGAGTTCAAAATTATCCTGGGCTATACACGACTGTCTCAAGAATAAAACAAACAAAAGCCTTACTAGCCTAACACTTCCAGTGGAAACCTTTTGTTCTTTGAGACAGGATGTCATTGTGTAGCCCTGGCTGGCCTGGAACTCCTCATGTAGATCAGGGTGACTTCTAACTCACAAGAGATCCATCTGTCTGCCTTGAATGCAGGGATTGATTAGAGATGTGCGCCACCACCCAATGGGTATATGAAAATTTCAGGAGTTGAGTTCTGCTGCATAGGTCTTCACAGCATAGAGGTGTATACATACATGTCTTCTAGAAGATTCCAGTCCTCTAAAGCAGAGGAGCAAAGCATTAACTGCCTTTGTCCAAACTCAGTCTCTGTGACTAATCCCGAGAGGAAACATGATTTCAGCATTAAATGATCCTTTCAAATCCAAACCAAAGTCTAAATCTAGACATTAGTACTGGTGGCATATACCCATAATCTCAGCAATTGGGGATGTGGAGGCAGAAGGCTCAAGAGTTTAGGGTTGCCAGGTGGCGGCGGCGCACACTTTTAATCCCAGCACTCGGGAGGCAGAGGTAGGTCTCTGTGAGTTCGAGACCAGCCTGGTCTACAGAGCAAATTCCAGAACAGCCTCCAAAGCCACAGAGAAACCCTGTCTTGAAAAACAAACAAAAGAAAAAAAAAGTAAGAGTTTATAGGGTTATCCTTGGTACATTCTGAGTTTGAACTCAGCCTGGGTTACATGAGATACTGTCTCAAAAACAAAGTAAATAGAGTTTGACCCCTTGTTAATCTGCATTTAGTGAGAAGCCATTCAAGAGGCACCTGTTTGCCATCGCCACAGCTGCCACACAAGACTGTTATGCCCACTGCACACCAGGCTTGGCTTTGTCTTCTGGGTCACCCTGTGGCTGAATGCCAAGGAGGTACCTGGTATCTGGAGCTCCAGTTGAGAGCACTCAAATCTGTGCTTTCAGTGTGCTGAAGGCCAAAGTGGGCAGCCCATCCACCTTTCTCAGTGCAGGGAACAGTGTTCACCTTCCAGTCCCCAAGCTGAGGCTGCAGTACCAGCAACTGTCACTTCCCAGCCTGACTCTTGAACTCCATTAGCACATTCATCCTTGGAGGCCTGAGGAAACGGCACTTAGCTACTAAGAAGCAATAGTAGATGAAGAAGCCCATGAAGAGAAACCACAGCAGCTAAGGTGTCTGTAAATACATGTAACAGACAATGACAAAATCCTGGTTCTGACAAAACCTCAGAAGCAAAACCACATCCTGTCTAAAATGAAATGGGGACCATGACCTGAAGCCATGGACCAGAACAAACAGGTTGCAACTTTGTGTCAAAGACACATGGCATGCTACAAGCCATCTTTGTTTGGTTACTTGGCTTCTACAGGGTTCCTTCTTGTTAGAGACTTCAGTGGTGTTGCCAGCTGACAGACCCGAGTGCAGGGGACAGAGCATCTAACAGATGCATGCACAGGGCTGATGCAGGTCCAGTTTACTGCAGGGTTTTGTCTTGATAGCAAAATAAAAAGCAGCAATAACAAACAGAGCTTCTATTTAGAGAGAAAACATTTCCCCTCCGAGAAAGGTTTTCTCTGTGTAACAGCCCTGGCTGTCGTGAAACTTAGACCAGGTTGGCCTTGAACTCACTGAGATCCAGCTGCCTCTGCCTCTGGAGTGTTGGGATTAAAGGTGTGCACCACCGCAGCCTGGCTGAGAAAACATTTTTTAAACAGGTCTCACATTTTCAAGACAGTGAGAAGCACAATATGGAGCACAACAGGAACAGCTGCAATAGGAGTCCCAGGGAGGTCAGGACGATGGCCACCAGGGGGTCAGGTGGGGACAAGAAGGTGCCTCCCTCCCAGGCTCAAAGTTCTTTGAATGGAAGAGAGAATTACATGGGGATGATTGTAAGGATGGAGGTGCACACAGCCTCCCAGATGGGGAATATAATAACAGCCACCCAGGAGCTGGTACAGGATAGCCTTGCTCCTATGTTCCAGTCAGAACTCAGCTGTCACTAAGCCCCAACCCCCAGGAGAGGTAATAAAGTGCTGCAGGCTTTCCAGAGGCACCCAAGTTCATGTTATGGCCGAGAGGAGCCAGTGGGCAGCTTCTCTCACATAGTGGGGATGGCCTATGACCTGCTTCATCTACAGCTCCCCAGATAGTTCTTGTACTGGCTGTAGCTGTTTGACATCTGCTTCATATCCAGGACCACCATGAGGAATGACCCCAGGAACTCAATAAGCACTTCCTTGACAGAGAGGAGGCCAGGACAAAGGGCCACTTATGGTCTGTATCCACCCAGAGCCCAGATGTGTCTCTTCAACTGACCGGATCACTGTTCCTCCACGTCCTTGTTCAGGGGTCTCCCCTGTTATCGGGCTCCAGGAAGCCAAGTAAAGGACCTTGGTAGAGGTAGATGGAGGTGATGGCTGTCCTGTGTCATACACACCACAGTTCCCAGGCTGATTCTGCCACTTGGGTGTCATCCAGGCTTTGGCTACTTAGCCTCATCTTTTCCAGCCCCACAGGGTCTGGAGCTTTCTCAGACTGCCTGGCCTTGGGAAATTAAGGCCACCCCCTTATTTGGCAGCCACTTCCCCATGGAACCAAGAGCAGCTGCAGTTCTTCCAGCCACCTCTGGAGAGCCAGGCTCCACCTCTCCTCAGCCCACTTCACACACTGCCCAGAGTGAGATGGGACCCACGACTACCACCTGTTTCCTTCCCGCTGACCCCAGAAAGCTCAACACTCCAGCTCAGGCAACCATTTAGTCACACCAGCCCTTCTCCCTCCCCATTATCAAGTCACAGGTCTTGGTCACAGTGGCTGGAACCCTTAGATTTTGTACAAAAAGCTGGGGACATAGTCAAACCTGAGCAGGGGGTGGGTGGTCCCAGGTGACTCTTGCATGTAGTGCAGTTTCAACAGCTCAGCCAGGTACTGCACTACTTTGATATCCTCATTCATGAGTCCCAGGTTGAGCTTTAGGAAGCTGGTTTGCCTGCTGGCCACTGCTTCTTGTGTTTCCTCACTGTGGGCAGGCAGGTGTAGGTGGTGGCAGAAGGTGTAGAGGAATGCCTTGGAGCAGAGCTGGGTGAGCATGCTCTGGACGTGTAGGTAGTATGTGCTGCCCCGCTTGATCTGAGTGCGATGGTCAGCCAGGCGGGGCACCAGTGTACCCCTGTACAAGGGGCAGCGGAGGGTCTTGCTGTCCAGGTCTAGGATGCTTGTGTAGCGGCTGTAACGACTCAGGGTATGGAGGGTACCCATACTGGCAGGGGAGGCCACCCTGAAAAAGATAGGTCAAGGTCAGAAAAATGGAGGCAAATACTTAGATGAGGCTCATGGTCCCCAAACTAACTCCCACCCAACTAGCATACAGTGGCCCTAGAGGAAATTCAAATGCTTTGGTTCCCAAGGCCCTGGGCAATTTGATTCCTGATGGCCTAAGCATCTGTTATTTGACTAAATGGATGCTCCACAGAGTAGGCCGAACTCACTGGTGCTTCCGGAGCACCTGCCTATCTGCTCTCCCTCACAGCAGACTGCAGCATTTTCAGGCCTCCCTCATCTCTGGGCTATTAGCTTAGTCAACCTCCTTTACCCTTTGTGAGCCTCGTCTCTGAGACGGAGATACTTCTCATTGTTACTGTTCCTCCTGGGGTCACCTTAGGATGGGGCCTCAGTACCGTGAGCCCACACCTAGCCATCGTGGTGGCTGCTAAGGAATTCTCCATTCTAGAGCCCTGGGGTTGCATCTCCCTCCATGCTGTGTCCCTACTGCCCAGCAGCATGTATTCCGAGGTGAAGCGGGACAGGCCAAGTGCTCAGCCTTCTGAGGACGTTCCCTAAAAACTCCCAAGTTTCTCAGAAAGGCAGAGGTTCCTTTTCTTCCCCTCTGTTTTGCTTCGCTGTGTAATGCTCCCCTCTGTGCCAGCTGGCTTCTTGTCCACCATGTGGATGACCTTTAGACCTGGTTCAGACAGCACAGCACAGTGCTCTGAGTCTCCCCCTCTTAAACTCTGTAATAAGCTTCTAAAAGTAAATTGAACCAAAAAATTGGCTTTCCTCAAGTGGGGGTGAGTACAGTAGGTAGAACATTTACCTGCATGTACAGGTCAGGGTTTTCATTCCAGAACCACAAGAAAACAAAAAAGCTCTCCTTTAGAGCAGTCTTCCCACAAGAGCAGGCAATCCCTACCAGTCCAGTCAATAGAACTGACAAGATTTTACAGACGACCTTCCTCTAACATTTAGGACTCATGTAAAACATGACACTATACAAAAAGAAACGCAACTGGGACCACAACTATTTTTTCCTTTTTGGTACATATCATAATTATTTATTAAACATCTACTACCTAACCAGGCATTGACCTGGGAGCGTAGATTACAATTAAAAATGTCCCAGAGTCTTGTCTTCTTCCTCTTCATGGGTGCACGCCTTTAATCCCAGCACTCGGGAGGCAGAGGCAGGCAGATCTGAGTTCGAGGCCAGCCTGGTCTATAGAGTGAGTTCCAGGACAGCCTCCAAAACAATACAGAGAAACCCTGTCTCGAAAAAACAAACAAACAAACAAAACCTCCCAGGGGATGGGAATATAATTCAGAAGTAGTTTGTCTGCCTAGCATATGCAGGCCCTGGTTCTATCGCTAGCACCAAACACACAAAGAATAATTCTCCCAAACAGTTCTGACATGGAAGCAGGAAGGGGCCAGGACTGGCAATCACTTAGCAACTGTGAACCCCCTCCCCATGACAGAGTGGCAATGAAATCAAGAGTGATTTGCCAAAGGTAAGAACAGTGAGTTGGGTTATCCATTGTCCAGAAAGCAAGCTTCCCTTTCCTGGGGGCCACAGAACAACCTGCTTCATCTCTTAATGTCTAGTGCTCTTCCCCACCACCTGGAACCATTACCTCTGTAGGCCAATAAGTTTCCACTTCTGAAAATCCATAATGTGCAAAGGGGAGGAAATCCAGTGCTTCACTGGCTTGGCATAGTAGCCATAGCTGGGGACAAAGATGGACAGTGCAGTTACAAGCTTCCTGACTATGGTTTCATCTTCACCCAGGACCACAAGTGTCCTCCCACTAAGTAGGGAGTAGATAGCTGGGTGGGCAAAAGGGTACTGGCGGATGAATTTTAAGGCGTTCTGACCGGCTCTCTTTTTGTGTCTCTCAGAGGACAGGCCAGCAGAGTGAGCAGAGGGGATTCTGTCCGAGCTGGTAGAGGCCACACTGCTCATGTGGCTTGTGGTATCCGAGTAGTTATCCAGGCTCGTTTTACTAATATCTCGGCTAGTCAGAAGGCAGCTTGGATCCAGCTCATAAGCAGGGAACATTTCACAACTGTTGTCTCTGGAAGGGTCAGTGTTTTCCATCATGACGTCCACATGGATCCCCTGATCCTTCTGCCTGTAGCGCTGTGGGGGGATGCTCACCACACCATCCTCATCAGAGAGAGTGTAAGCTGGAGTGGGAAGAGGAACCAGCTGACCTTCACTCTCCTTTCCAATACAGCAGCTGGAGTCTATTTGGGATGGGGTATTTTCCAAGCTGCCCTCCTGAGTCTCACGCAGTTCTGCTGGGCTGACACTTGCCTGGAAACGGATGCCCCCCTCATTTTCTGCATAGGTTTCTTCCTCATTAATGGCACTTGGGTAGCTGGCCTTAAAGTCATCGGGAATGAGGGCCTCAGACGGGCAGGTGCTTAAGACTTCAATACTGTCCTCACTAATTGTCCTGTGGCTGACTGCCTTGCTACGGACTACACGGGGACTCAAGGGCACCGTGAGGCTGGCCTGGCTGTCAGATTTGGACAGCACGGAAGATGACTTCTCAGTGCCCAGAACCTCGATGCTTTCCCCACTACTGATGCTCCCTTTCATGTCCATATCCAGGTAGTCCAGGTTTTCTTGGGGGTCGAAGCTGCTTGACTCTGTGGCCTCCACTTCCTTATACTCGTCATCTCCAAGTTCCTGCTCCATCTTGATCAACACAGACTCCACACTGGACTTGTAAGAACCAACACTAATCAACACTTTAGGAATGGGGCATTCTTCCACAGGCCTGGAAGGCAGTCTGTCCTGACTGGGTTGAGAAGGCAAATTCTCTTGTTTCTCCATCCTGTCATCAACCTCTACAAAGTCTTCAAAGAGGAAATTTGTTATGTGCTGTTGCTTTCGAAGTGCTCTGTCAATCTGACGGGTCAGGAGATAGCATAGGTCCCCTCTGAACGTGTGTTCAATGTGGCTAAGCTGGGCCAGGGTCTGCGTGAAATACTCAGTGTCACAGAGTTCCTCCAAGGTCTTCAACTTCTTGTCAAAACACTTGGTGGACTTTGCTTTGATGAGTTTTGGGGTGTAAGCCGGTCTGCAGGTATAAAGGTCTGCATTAGCTGACTCCTCAGGGTTAGAGGTAGCGGATACCTGGTCAGCCTGATCTTGGGTATGCTCCATATCACCAGGATGCAAATCAGGTATCTTCATCTTCTGACGAGGGTATGAGCGGATCTGCCTCAGCAAATCTTGATGCTCAATGATGGACTTCTCCACATTAGCTAGTTCATTGGCTTTCTCAATTGCCTGAGATGTATAAAAGCCTTTGTCATTGGCTTTCTTCTGGATCTCAGTTTCTGTGTGCAGCACTGTCCTTGTGTAATCCAAGTCTTTCAGCTTTTTCTCAAGTTCCCCAGCAAATGCCTTCCTGTTACCCATCTTCAAGCACTCGGACGCTTTGGAAAATTCAGCCGAAAGCTCCTGGAACTGCTGCATGATTTTATGCTGGTCTGCAGAGATATAAGCCATACAAAAGGGCCTTACAAAGCCACGGGCCTCCAGGTCATACAAGGTAAGGTGGTGCACATATGCAAAGGCCCCTTCCTTGGAGTCTCCCAGCACCACTTTAGAGTCCTCCACAAAGTTCAACTTGGGGTAGGCAGAACCAGGAGGGTGACCTACGAACGAAGCCTGGTAGTCCACTGACATGATCCTCAAGGAGAAGTAATTGAGATCAAAAGTGCCAAAAACTTTGGTGTCATTGGGGATAGTCAGCAAGGGTTGGGGTCCCACCTGCTCAGAGAACTCGGAAATAAGGATGAAGTCCCTGGAGAACTTGGCCCCGGACAGTTTAGACCAGGGGTTAGCCCCCTGGCTGGCATAGGGGAAGAGAGGTACCGAGTACTCCTCCGGCAAGGCGGGCTCATTGTAAGGCTCTTCCTCGTACTCATCTTCCTTGGTGAAGGCCACCACATCAGGGGCGCTGATCATATTTCCTGAAATACGGAAAGAACATTGAGAGGAAATGGAAAATAATGCGGGGTTAGTCGGCGGGGAAGTCCGACTTCTGGATGAGGAAGCGAAGCTCCTGCGGCCTTCTTTGCACTTCTAGGGGTCCTAAGCTGCCTCTCACACACCCAATAATTCAGATTCCCGAAGATTCTCAAGGTTTGGGACCTGGGAAGCTCCGGGAAGCCTCATGAACTCCAAAGCTGCAAGCCCAGATGACGGAGGAGGCTAGCTACTCTCCGGATGTTTCCCCGGCCGGCGCAAGGCTTCTGAACCGAGGTCACTAGCACTTCCCGGAACCTACCAGTGACATCAACAGCCCCAGCTCGGATCAGGTCCTTAATTCTAGTCGCGGACGGCTGCAGTGACTTAAATGGGCCTCTCCACGACCTAAGGGCAGAAACTGTCGCGGCTCCTAGGACTGTCCCACGGAAGCTACCGCGGAACCACCATCTTCGTATCACATGACTCCCAAGCTTCAGCGTCGCGTGACCCGGAAACGCTCACAGTGACTTCCGAGTAAGTGATGCCTTTTAAGGCACTGTCAATCAATCCCTCCTGAGAACAAGTCCCATTGACCAACCACTGTCCTAAAGAAAGAGAAAGTAGGACACAGCGGGGTGGAAGGGAAGAGGAGAAACGGTGCTAGGTGGGCGTGCCAGGGCATGAAGCATTCTGGGAGTTGTAGTTCGAGGTAGCTCGGTTAGCGGAAGTTTCCCGTGAGCGCGAGTTTAAGCGGGATTCTGAGGTGTGGATTCCACGTTGTGGCAGCAGTGACCTGGAAAAGGTGCATTATTAAAGTGGCTCTCGGAGGTGTGCCTCGTGGCTTCTTCTCTGGGTTCCCCAACATGTACGGGGTACCGTGGAGTTGCTGCTGGCGCAGGGCCTAGGAAATGATCTTCCCAATCACCCTCTTAGCGTTCCAGTGGCAGCGACGGCCTGGAGGCCGTGCCTTGTCCCGTGCTGCCATAGAAATGGCCTTCCGAGGAGTGCGAAAAGTTCTCTGTGTGGCGGAGAAAAACGACGCTGCCAAGGGGATCGCCGACTTGCTGTCCAATGGTCGTATGCGGCGGGTAAGAAGCATTTCGGTTTGGCTTCCTTGAGGAACGCCCACAAAGTTAGATCGCGTGGGGTACTCGTAGCCGAGGAGAAAAAGCGACTCCGCCTCTAGCGCGGCGGCAGAAGCCCCCTCCCATCCGTCCTCACCCGTCAGTCTCTCCTCAAACTTCAGTCTGCTTTAAACATAGGACTTTAACGGCGTTTAATAGATCTCTGCCCTTCGTCACTGTCTGATTGTCTCAAATACCTGTGAGTCTTCTGTGAGTCTGGAGCGCTTGCGAGCTAACATGTTATGTTAACATTCTTTCTTGGTGAGTCTGAAGTTCAGTTGAGTTGGAAACCTGTACCGAACTCCTTTAACTTGGCGTTCAAACCTTGCTTATCGGTCATTTCTCTGCATGCTGCAGTTCTAGTGACTTTATGTCTAGGTGGCACCCTAGGAGTAACACATAGGACTATCTCTTGACAAAGGGAAGATGAAAAGGTTAGCACCCCAAGAACTCTTTCTGATACGTTCTCTTTGTAAATAGCAGGATCTCTAGACCTCTGTCTACAGTTCTGAAATAGTGGGAGGGGAGCCAAAGTTGGGTGGACACTGGCCCCCAACTTCACCTCTTCAAAGTGTCGGATATCCTTGAGTAGTGATTTCTTTTACGGAGATAGGGTTTCTGGCCTTGAACAAACAAGAGCTCTGTTTGCCTCTGCCTTCCTAGCGCTTGACATCTACCCTAACTACTGCTTTAATGTCTGTCTGTCTGTCTGACCCTTCCTCCCCACCTCCCTTCGCCTATGCCTGCATGTATGCCTATGTATCACATGTATGCCCATGGAGGCCAGAAGTGGGTACTGCTGGGAATCAAACCTAGGTACTCCGGCAAGTGCTCTTAACCATTGAGCCATCTCTCCAGCCCCTTAAATGTCTATTTTTAAGGACCCCCCACCCCCCCACACTAATTCCCCACTAAGCCTGGGATACTTCCTCTCTGTCTCTCTTTCCTTTTCATTTTTGTTTTCCAAGACAGAGTGTAGTGTAACCCTGTGTGGTGGGACTCATTATGTAGACCAAGTGAAGGATTTTTTTTAAAGATTTATTTATTTATTATATATACATTCTGCCTACATGCCAGAAGAGGGCACCAGAGCTCATTACAGATTGTTGTGAGCCACCATGTGGTTGTTGGGAATTGAACTCAGTACCTCTGAAAGAGCAGCCAGGGCTCTTAACCTCTGAGCCATCTCTCCAGCCCAAAGCCAGGGCTTCTTAATCATGTATCATTGTGACACATAAAATGTTGAGGCTGGAATAACAGAGCATGTTGCTGCTTTGCAGAGACCAATGAATACATACATAGGACTGAATCTTTAAAACAGTGCTTTATTCAGAGAACTGACAGTCTCAGGAGACTGTCTTCCATCTCATCTCCAGATGGCAGATTATGCAGGGAGAAGGAAAAGCTGTCAAGTCATTACGAAGCTCAGTCTTGTCTCCTGGTTAACTACATCAGAGAATTGTTGTGGTCTGTAAGGATAAGTAAGAATTAAGTTTGTAGGAAGAAATAAAAGATGAGAATTTAGGTGACCTCAGACAGCTAGAGCAATCATTATTAATGCCAGACAGGTGAGTTTATAGTTCTTATTATGCATGATTAGGGCACAGGACCTAGGCCCTGGGTGACCAGAGTTCAAGCAAATAGCATTACTTGCTTTAGGCTGAGGTTTTTAAAACTAAGGATAGGGAACAGGGTGGAGAGAAATTTGTTTGGGGCAGAATGAGGAAGTTAGCTATTTTCCTTAGATACACTGTCTGCCTGTTGTCAAAGAGGTGGCCGAACTCCACCACTGGGTGTCTGGAGTTGGGCCAGTTGCCTTCTACAATCCTCAAATACCTGCTTCCTGGAACTTTGGGCTCAGTTTCAGGACCTTGGCTTTTGGGGAGGGGGGCTCATGTTCCATATGTCTTTTTTTTTTTTTTTTTTTGGTTTTTCCAGACAGGGTTTCTCTGTATTGTTTTGGAGGCTGTCCTGGAACTCGCTCTGTAGACCAGCCCGGCCTCGAACTCACAGAGATCTGCCTCCCAAGTGCTGGGATTAAAGGCGTACACCCCCCCCCCAACGCCCTTCAAGAAAATGTCTTACAACAAGCTTAAGTGTGCTAAGTGTGGGTAGTAGTAGTATAACCATTATACTACCTAGTTCCAGAAGGAGTGCCATTGCTTGCTCTTGTCATGCTCACCACTATTAACCTGCTCTGTTGTTACTGAAAGGAACAGTATTGATTCAGGACTCCCAAGGTCACATTCTCAGCACAAAGATTTATTTACCCCAGAGGGACAGAGGGCAGGGAATAAGAGATAAACACAGGAGATCGAGGACAAGTAAGAAGGGGAAGGGAACAAGGGAGAGGAGGTAGGGATGTTTGTCCTGGGGGGGGGACAAAAGACTGCTTCTGGATAGAGAGGAAACAGACATGGCATAGGAAAATGGCAGTTTGTAAAGGTAAAATGGGAAACCCTGTGTTAGGATGAGGTGTTTAATTTTAATTGGGCATGTTAATTGGGTGAGCCAAAGGGGGCTTTTGATTGCTGGACTTCAATACTCTGATAGCTGGACCTTGGTAGTCAGCCTCAGGAGGAGGATGTGGACAAATAAGGGAATAGACCTTGGTGGCACTTTAGGAATGTAATCTAATAGTTTTTAGCAAAGCAGAGGGAATGGAAGAGAAGGGCAAGGCCTGTCAGAGCCATGCATGCTATGCTAGAGCTGGCCAGAGTGCCTTCAGTAACTGTTGTTGTTAGTGGGGGGTTGGATTTTTGAGTTAGGGTCTCATTCATCTAGATGAGGCTGACCATAAAGTTGCTAGGTGGTGGAGGCTGGCCATAAACTTTTATTTTCTTCCTCTCTTTAAGCTGGAATAACCAATTTATCATATTTTTATTTTTCTCTATGTTGGTGTGTGTGAGCTAGTGCCCCATGTTTGCTTGTGCCTTTCAAGACCAGAAAAGGGCATTGGGTCCTCTGGAACTGAACCCAGTTCCAAGAGGCTTGGGCAGGTGCTCATCTGGAAGATCAGTGAACACTCTTAAGCAACTAAACCATCTCCGTATCTCTATACAACCCTCCAAATTGAATCCCCCCACTCCAAAAGCTAATGTCTTGAAACTGAATTTATAGTTCCAAGAAGTAGCTATTTGGGCATTGCAGAAGGCAGTTGGCCTAACTCCAGACACCTAAGCCTTGCAATCTTGATTTTCCTACTCCCACCTCCCAACATGATTATAGAAGTATGACAAGATACATAGCACTAATCCACTTTGGATTTGCCTATTCTAGACATTTCTTATAAATGGAAACAGACAAAGCATTGCTTTTGTGTCAGATTTATTTAATTTTGCATAATGTTTTTTAAATGTGTCCACATTGTAGCATATATTAGTACTGTTTCTTTTCATGGTTGAACATTTTATTGACTAGATGGATCTGGTGTTTATCAATTGGTGGGCATTTTTAGTTTCTACCTTTTGTTTATTATGAATAGGACTTGCTGATTTGCAAGTTCCTATTTGAAAAGCTATTAAAATTATGGGAGTCCTACAAGTGGGATTGTTGGGATATATGGTAGCTACTTTAACTTTTTCAGGAATCACCACACTTTTCTACATGCTTTAGGAACACTTGCATTTCTTGTTGTTTTTACTTTATTGACATCCTAACAGGTCTGAAAAGGTACTGTGTTTTTAATTTACATTTTTGTAATGGCTTATTAACCAATGATACTGAGTTACTTTTCAACTATTTAGTTATCTTTTTTGGAGGAATTTAGCTGTGCAACAAACCTAAAGCTTTGCATGGACTAGGCAACTGTTCTAACACCAAACTGTAGCTCACTTTTTTTGGTTTTTCGAGACAGGGTTTCTCTGTATTGCTTTGTAGACCAGGCTGTCCTCGAACTCACAGAGATCCACCTGCCTCTGCTTCAGAGTGTTAGGATTAAAGGCGTGTGCCACCAACGCCCAGCCCTAGCTCACTTTTAATGTCATTGTCAAATCCAGTGTCAAAAAAATGTATTTACATATTTTTTTTCTTGAGAGTCTTACAGTTTAACTTCTTATTCTTTCATATATGGTATCTGTGCCTGTATGGCTGCTCATGTGCCACAGCATGTGTATAGAGGTCAGAAGAACACTTGTAGGAGTCAGTTCTCTCTCTCTCTCTCTCTTTCTCTCTCTCTGTCTCTCTTTTTCTGATACAGGGTTTCTCTGTATTGTTTTGGAGGCAGTCCTGGAACTGGCTCTGTAGACCAGGCTGGCCTCGAACTCACAAAGATCCACCTGCCTCTGCCTCCCAAGTGCTGGGATTAAAAGTGTGCACCATCAACGCCTGGCAGTTTTCTCTTTTACCATGTGGTTTTCAGGAATTGAACTCAGATCATCAAGTTTGGCAATCAACTTTACTCTCTGAACCATTTTGCTGGCCCAAAGTTTTAGTTGTGTTTGATCTACTTTTTTTTTTTTTTTTTTTGGTTTTTTTTCAAGACAGGGTTTCTCTGTATTGTTTTGGAGGCTGTCATGGAACTCGCTCAGTAGACCAGGCTGGTCTCAAACTCACAGAGATCCACCTGCCTCTGCCTCTGGAGTGCTGGGATTAAAGGCGTGCGCCACCACCGCCCAACTAATCTACTTTTTTTTTAGTTCATATTTCTATATGTACGTCCCACCTTTTAGTATATGGAAATCTATTTGTCCCAGCATCATTTGATGAAGTCTGTTGTTTGAATTGACTTGGTACCCTTGTCAAAGATCAATTAGCAAGAAAAAGCCTTAATCCTAGGATTAAGGAACCAAATCAAGAAAGCAATTCCGTAACAAAATGGTATCTGGTTCCACAGCTGCCTTGCCCCAAAGACGCACATGGATGCTATATTAGTTATAATGCTGTTTGCCGTTAGCTAGAGTATCTTATTGTCTATCTCTGTATTAATTATTAATCCATTTATATCAATCTAAGTATTTCCACAT